CAGTGGTTCCACCATCTGCCTCACAAGTACAATGTCCTGAGTTTGATCCTGGTACAAAAAAAAAAAACTACTAGAGAAATCACCAACACACTAATGAGTTCACACATCTGAATGAGCAATTTGGAGGTGGGTCCTCGTTGGAGGAAGTAGGTCATGGGAGCATGACCTTGGGAAATACATTTGGAGCCTGGCCCCTTCCTCTCTAACTCCTCCCCTCCTACTCTACTTCCCAGATGCCATGAATTGAGCAGCTTACCTGGCCATGCTCTTCTATCACAACGATTTGGCCTCAGAGCCAGCCAACCATGGACTGAAACCTCTGAAACCTTTGAAATTATGGGGCTACATAAATCTTTCCTCCTTTAGGCTGTTTATGTCAGATATTTTGTCCTAGCAACAGAAAGGTAGCCAATACAGATAATTTTTCAAAGGAGTGTAATAGAAGTTGGAAGTGGAAAATTATGGATGTATTTCTCAGGAGGCACAAAAGGGTAGTCAGTGGATTGTATTTAACATGATTGTATTTCAAGACAACTATTGCAGTTAGCAATAGTTAAATGTACATTCAAGATCTCCTGAAATATAAAATGAATGCAATCACTAATAAAGGGCATGTGGAGATAATTTCAGAGACAATACAACAGAGAAGATCTTACCACTGCTAGTAAGACATTAAACTTCTTTGTGTAGTTTTAATGTCTTCTTCTATTTAAAAAAAACTGAAATTTGTTATAGTTTAGATCTAAAATGTCCCCCAAAAGTATTATGTGTTGGAGAGTGACTGGATCATTGGGGCATCAATAGCTGAATATGCTGGTAGGAGGAGTCTAGTTGGAGGCAGGGAACTGGAAGCATGACAAAGAGTATATTCTTATCTCTGGTTATTCCCATCTCTCTCTGCTTCCTGGCTGCCACTGATTAAGTACCTTTCCTCTGCCATACCCCTCCCTCTGCATCCTGTTTCTGCCTTAGAGCCTGCCAACCATGGATTGAAACGATGAGCTATGGTTTTGTGATAAAAACTTCTCCTTTAGGACCTGGGACTTAGCTCGGTGTTGCTACCACCTGTCTCACAAGCGCAAGGTCCTGAGTTCAATCCCAAGTTTCAAAACAAAACAAAACAAAAACTCCTTTAAATTGTTGGATGTTGGGCATTATGTTCCAGTGATGGGAAAGTAACCAAAACAGATTTCGGTACCAGAGAAGTGGGGTCATTTCTGTAACTGTACCCAACCAAAGTTTAGAAGCCTTTGGAACTAGTTCACAGGAAAAATTTGAAAAGATCTGGAGATGCTGGCCAGAGAAGTCCTAGAATGAAGTAAGGTGAGATTGATGGGAGATTCTGCTCAAAATTCAGAAGACCAGAATGCTGACAAGATGACAAGAAATAAAGAAGAGGCTCAGAAGCTGGGAACAAGGGCTCTACTGGCAGCTGAACTAAAAGCCATGTGTGGTTACTTTCTGGCAGAAAATGTCTTCAATTTGCCCATACCCTGAGACTTTATGGGAGACTGACATTAAGTAAGTGGACTGCTTAATTTGCTGGAGGAAATTTCAAGCAGCCATTCAGGCTGTGGCATAGGTACTGTTGGGGACTTTTAGATCTATTCTGAGAGATAAATCTACATCACTAAATGAATACATCTGAAAAGAGGGAAAGAAGCAAATCAATAAACCAAGCTCCCACCTCAAGAACCTAAAAAAGAGGAAAATAAACTCAAAGCAAGCAAAGAAAAAATACAAAGGAAATAAAGTTAAAATCAGAAATCAGCGGGCCAGGGATTTAGCTCAGCAGTTCGGTGGCCTGCCTTGTAAACACAAGGACCTGATTTCAATCCCTGGTACCAAAAAAAAAAAAAAAAGATCAGAAATCATTAATATTGATAACAAAAAAAATTTTAAATCAATGAAACAAAGAGTTGATTCATTGAAAAGAAAATGAAATTGATTAACTAGTAAGAGTGACAAAGGAAATTAACAACATTAGGACTGAAACAGGATAGCACTACAGTCTATTCATGTAAATCTGACAACTAGAAGAAATAATTCAATTCTTCAAACTACCACAAATCACACAAATAACATAAAATGAGTAGCCTGATAACTATTATGGGACTGAATTTGTAATTTGAAAACACCCAAGAAAGAAACCTCCAGCCCTCGATGGTGTCAGCCAAGAATCTTACCATTTAAAGAATACCAATTCCATACTTCGAATTTTCCTATTAGCAAATCAAATATAGTACTGTATGTGAAAACTACATGTCATTAGCCTTCATAAAGCTGATTAAAAAAAACTCTACAGCTTATGGTAAAAAAATTGAGCTTTACAATAACAGAAACAGGGAATGGAAGGTCTTTTCACACCATTGTTACTGAACAGAGTGCCAAAGTAACACAATGAAACAAAGCAAAACAAAAATTAAACAAGAAGAAAGAACACAGTGCTAGAATTTAGCAAGCAAAATAAGGCTGGAAAGAACAGGCAAGCAGGTAAAAGAAGAGTTAAATTGTCCCAATTTGTAAATGACATGATTATCTATGCAGAAAATTTCAAAGAATACCAACTCCTGAAATAAATGAATATCAAGGCCACAGAACACAATGTAAACAAACAAAAATCAACTATATTTCTGTATAGTACTAACGAATATGTGAATAAAATTTAAAAACAATGACCATCTATAATACCTCAAAAATTATACTTAGGCATAAAAGTATGACTGTAATAAAACACAATGCTGTATGCTAAAAATGCTAATAAATCAAAGAAATATATGAAAAAAGGAAATACCATGCTCATGAGGTAGAAGACTCAAAATAGTAAAGACATCAATTCTCACTAAATTGATATTGCAGATGTAGTTCCTATCAAAATCCCAACTGGATCAGGAATTCAGCTCAGTGGTTTTGCCACCTGCCTTGCAAGTGCAAGGTCCTGAGTTTGAACCCAGTACCAAAAAATATCTTCTGCACAGCAAGACAAAATCCCAGCAAGTCCTTCATGTAAATTTGACAACTGGAAAGAATAGCTCAATTCTTCAAGATATATAAAGCTCAATTCTTCTAACATATAGAAAGGCAAAGAACTAAAATACTTAAAAATTTTTTTAGAATAGAGGAATAAGTAAAGGAATCAGGCCACACTATGTGAAAACTTACACGAATCAACAGTGGTAATATGGAACCCAGAAATAGACCCACATAAATGTGTTCAACTGACTTTTGACAGAAATGCCAAAACAAGCTGACATGGTGGTGGTTGTTTGTAATTCCAGCACTCTGGGAGGCTGAGGCAGGAGGACTGCACATTCAAGCCCAGCCTGGGCACCTTAGTAACAGTGAGATCCTGTTTCAATTTTTTTTGGGGGGGTACCAGAAATCAAACTCAGGATCTTGCTCTTGCGAGGCAGGCATTGGCAACACTGAGCTAAATCCCCAGTCCTCAAAATTTTAAAATAAATAAATAAAATGCAACAATTCAATATAGGAATGAGAACATTCCAACCAACAATGCTGGAGCAACTAGATTTCCATAAACAAAAACAAAAACAAAAAAAGCCCTCAACTGAAGGCTGATATCTTATATTAGAAAAATCAATTCTATGTAGGTCACGAAATTAAATATAAAAAATGTAAAGTGTAACACTTTTAGAGAAAATAAGAGAAAAATCTTTGGAATCTAGGGCTAGGCAGAGTTCTTAAGCTTGATACCAAAAGCAAAATTTATAAAAGGGAAAGTTGATTGAATGGACCTCATCAAAATTTGACATCCCTGCTTTGCAAAAGACCCTATTAAGAGGATGAAAAGACAAACTACAAATTGAGAAGAAAATAATTTGAAAACCACATACCTGAAAAGGGATTAGTATCTAGGATACATAAATATTCTACACTCAATAGCAAAAATCCATAAACAATCCAATTAGAAAATGGATAAAAAAGAAATGAAGGCATAACAACAGAGGAAATGGCAAATGTGCGTATGAAAAAACTTTCATCACTGGCCACTGTGGAAATGTACTTACAGCTACAATGAGTTATTACTACACACCTATCAGAATGGCTACAAATAGGGACAACATTAAATGCTGCCATGGATGTGGAGAAACTGGATCTCTAATACACTGATGGTGGGAATGGAAAATGGTGCAATAGTACGGTCATATGATATATGTAAAACTAAACTTGCAGACAGGCATGATGGTTGATAGGGGTACTCTCAGCACTCTTGGAGACTGAGACAGGAAGCTCACAAATTTGAGCCCAGCCTGGGCAACGTAGGATGCAGGGTGACCAAGTCTCAAAATAAACAATTTTTTAAAAGGCTGGAAATATAGCTTAGTATGAAGGCCTTGGTTTGCAATTTCTAGTACCCAAATAAAATATACCTAAGTATACAATTACCATATGACCCAGCAACTATATTCTTGAATATTTATTCCAGACTGAAGACTTATGTTTACATTATGTTACATTAGGAACTACAGGAATGTTTATAGCAGCCACATTTATAATAGCCAAAAACTAGAAACAAGCTTGGTTTACTTCAAAGTCTATTACATACATACCGTGGAACACCACTCAGCAAAACTACTGATACAGTACTGGGCAACGACCCAGATGAAATCTCCAAAAAACTCTGCTGTGTAAAAAAATCCAATCGCGTTCTCATTAGGTCCCCTCCACATGTCCCTCCCGACACATGCACACAGACACAGCAACTGTCACAGGAATCCACAATGAAAGAAACTTCTCAACACCTGATCGGGTGGAGAGGAATCCAAGCAAGGCTGAACACATAGCCAGCCACCCCTCCCAGCCGCCATCGGAACTTGTCTTCTGCAGCAAAGTTCTGAAACTGTCTCTAGCCTCGGAGAGCTTTACACACATTACAACCACCGACATTTACAGTGTTAGAAATTAAAATGGAACGTTTTGGACGTCAAGAACCGCGCGGGTAGATCATTCCCCACCCCGCGCCTCGGGGAGTCCGGCACCTAAGAGAGCGCGAAGAGACAAAGGCGGATCCCGCGGAGAATCCCGCTCGCCACCGCCAAGACACCCACACCGAGACCGGATGCCGACGGGTTCAGCCCGCAGGCGCTCCTTCAAGCGCATACGGCGGGTGGAGTGACTCGGACCCCGGGGGCTGCGGAGGTCGCCAGGGCCGC